GCTGAGAGTCCACACCTCCTGCTCCAGAACCCCCACCCCGCCGGGTGCTGCACAGCGAGGTGTCGCCCCACGCCTGGAGTGGGTTACACCCTGAGTCCTCAGCAGCCTGGGCCTGGACCCGGCGCCCCAGGCCCACGTACCCCATGGTAACCCAACTGGGCAGCAGTGTGAGACTGCCCAGCTCCCATGAGGACCACACCTGTGCACCCTGGTGAGGCCCAGAGAGGTGGGAACCAACCTGCACCCCACCCCCAGCCCTGAGCCGGTGGCCCGCGGATGGGGACAGCCAGCCACAGCTGTGAAGCCCCGCCCCACAGAAGCCCGACATTTGGGCCTCTGAATGCCTGGCGGCCCCTGGTCTCTGCCTGGGGACCCAGATACCACCCTACCCCCTCTACCCCAAGGTGACGGTGGAAACTAGAGCCTTCAGCTGGCCTCGCTGGGGCCACAGAGCACCCAGCCAGCGGGCGGCAGTGCCAGCTCTCGGCACTCGTGCAGGCCGGGGCTGGGCTGTGCTCCCCAGCCGGCCTTCTCCTGTGCCCCGGGCCACCACAATGCCTTGCTGGTGCCGTGGTCCCCTCCCTGCCTTGCACTCTTCCTGGGACCCCTCGGGGTGCAACCCCAGAGCCCAGCAGGGTGAGGCCCGGCTTGGAGATGTGGAGTCTGCAGCTGTTTCCTCTCTCATCTGGTGTCCTGGCCAGAAGCGTGGCATCGCTGCCCTGCTGCAGGGTGAGGGTAGCGGGGGCCGTGGGGGCTGCGGGTGGAGCTGAGTTCTGGGCTGGGTCTATGGCTGTGGGACAGCTGGACAGGCTCCAGGCACTCCAGGGCAAGGTCAGAGGGGCAACGCGTCTACACTAGAGCCCCTGTGGGACCCTTCGTGGTTTCCAGGGAGGGTGACAGCTTCATGGTTCCTGTTCCCTGCCATCCGTGAACCCACCCAGCAGCTTTCCATACACCTTTCCCTCCTGTGTTTGTTTGTTTATTTGATTTTTGAGACAGGGTTTCAATCCATAGCTCCAGCTGGCCTTGAACTTACTATGTAGTGCAGGCTGGTTTTGAACTTGAAGCCATCCTCTTGCCTCAGCCTCCTGGGTGTTGGGATGACAGACATGTGCCACCGTGCTGGGCTCGGATCCTCCCTCGCAAGGGGTTGGCTTCTGGCAACGGGAGGGAGGAAGGACCTGGTGGGGTCAGCCTGGAGAGCAGGCCATGCAGAGTCCCAGGCTGGCCCGGAACCCCGCAGCCTGCAGGGTGCACTCAGACCCACGCTCTGAGCCTGGACTCACACACACCTGAGCCCGAGGCCCACTATCCACCCTGGCCTGGTACCCGCTTCCATCCCCAAGTGGGCCAGCACTGGCAGAGGAGCCCTGTGGTGGCAGTAGAGGCCTGGGCCAGGGCTGGAGGCCGGCGTGGGAGCTGGGTCCCTGAGGATGCGAAGGACGCCACTCTGCCCGCAGCTTAGCCCTGTGCTCGGGCACAGAGCGCCGCTGCCACCCTGACGAGGGGCTGTCCCCTCCCTGTCGTGAGCCCAGGCCCCGGTACAGGGCCCGGGCGGCCCGGGATGCGTGGCTGCGCTATGCTATCTCCTCCCATCTCTGTCCCTCTCTGTCTCCATGTCCTGCTCCCTCTCTCCCCTTGTCTCCCTCTGTGTCTCTGATCCGTGTGTCTGGGAGGTGGTCACAGGCCTGCAGAGCAGGAAGCGGGTAATGGGGTATCACGAGGAGCTCGGAAGACAACAGGGGAGGGCCGCCAGGCTGGACGCCAGGGCTGCCCCCAGGCAGTGGTGGCCTCTCAGCCTGGAGCAGGGTATTAAGGGGGCCTGCAAGGGGTCGGGGCAGGAGGGCACGTCCCGAGGTGGGCTGACGTGGGAGGCCCGGCCACAGCAGGGCATTCCGTACCGCAGGGGACGCAGTGGTCCTGGGCTGGGGTGACGGGAGGTAGAGCTGCAAGCTGCCGAGCACAGGGCCTGCTGAGCCCCTCGGGGTCCTGTGACGCTGTAGCCTCTCACCACATCCGGGCCTCTGCGGTGCTTCGCTTCCAGGCCCAGGGCACCCGCCACCTTCCAGGTCGGTGGCGCTGTCCCTGTCTGTCCTGGTGGTGCAGGCTCCAGGGTGAGGACAGGACCCCACCCCGTGTCCCCAAGGACTGGTCACCTGCAGTGAGGTGGGCTAAGAGTGGGCTTGACCCAGATCCAGTCCGGGGCTCCCCACCCCGTCCTCAGTCTGCTCATGTGGGAGGCGGGCTGGGGGCTCGAGGTCCTTAGCCAGAGGGTGAGAGGTCAATGGCACTCCCTGGCCGAGCGTGTTGGTGTCAGCTGGTGGCGAGGACTTGGCTGGGCTGGGGACACAGATCTGTTTTCTCCAGGTGGCCATGTGAACATCCAAAACAGCTTGCAGTGACACCCACCCCTTGTAATTTTGAAATTTAAAAAAAAAAAAATTGAACCAGGTAGGATGGTGCACACCTGTGATCCCAGCACTCTGGGAGGCTGAGGCAAGAGGATCACAAATTAGAGCCCAGCCAGCCAATTTAGGGACTTCATGAGACCTTGTCTCAAGATAAAAAATAAAAAAGAGCTGGGAATGTGGCTCCCAGCAAAGGCCCTGGGTTTGATCCCCAGTACCAAGAAAGAATTGCATTGCAGTGTCACCTAACATTAGTTAACATTTTATTTCATTTTATTTATTTATTTATTTTTTGTCTTTTTGAGACAGGGTCTTGCTATGCAGTTCAGGCTGGCCTTGAGCTCACTTTGTAGTCCAGGCTGGTCTCGAACTTGCAATGATCCTCCTGCCTCAGCCTCCCGAGTGCGGCGATTACAGGCATGCGCTACCATGCCCGGCTAGTTAACATTTTAAAGTGGACGACTCTTGGGTGTCTGGCATGTTCACTACTGTCTGGCCCCAGAGCACTGTCCTAGCCCAGAGGAGCCCGGTCCCCCCGCCGCCTCTGCCTGCTGATCCTGCACATTTCCCAGGACTGAGTCCTATGCCGCGTGTCTTGGGCCCAGCTCTGTTCACATGCAGGAGCCAGCCGCATCCTTCCCGTGGGCCCCAGGGAGCAAAGTGAGTGGGGCCCTGCATCTTAGCTGGGTTGTTTCTGCCTCTGTGCTTGGGATGGGCATCTGTGTGGAGTGACCTGGCCCCCCAGGGTCCTCTCCTGTGTGGGAACCAGTTCCACCTGAGTCTGAAGCCCAGTGTGACCAGCGCTCACTAGCTGCTTGTCCTGCGCTGCCGTCCTCACAGCCGTGGCCCGAGCCTCGGCCCAAGCCTCCCTGCTCCGTGCCCCTCAGACTCCCAGCACCAGCTCCATTCCAGGGACTGGTGGCTAGGCACGCGCATGTTGGCCCCAGGAGTGTGCTGCCGGCCTTCCCCAGTGCCAGCCTGCCTGGGGAAAGGGCAAGAGGGGCAGACCACAGGCCATGCCCTCCGCCCCGCCAGCCCCAGGCATGTCTGGGCCTGTCGGCTCGGGTACTACAGGGCGCGGCCAAGCTGATCCCCCTGGCAGGCGGGGGTGGCAGGCAGCGTGGGCCTGGGCTCCCCACCCCCTCTCCCGCTGTAGGACAAGGTCCTGCAGGGCCTCCCGCGTGGCTGGGGCAGTGCTGGTGTCCCCACCCTTGCCCGTGGTGGCTTTGTTGCCTCTGCCTTGCCACAGAGGAGCCGTGGGAGGAGTCTGACTCCACAGCCACCCTCCAGCCTGGGGTGTCCCCTGTGTGCTGTACCAGGAGGGTGAGAGGGTCTGCACTGTCTCCAGGCCCGGGGCATCGGGGAGCCCCAAACCTGGGCTGAGCCTACCCGCTAACAACCATGGTTCACAGCAGTGACCCCGCGTCTGCACAGCTCACCCCTGCCCAGGCCGGGCGCAGAAACTCAGTTCCTCTTCCAGGCCCAAGGCAGCCATGGGAAGTGCTGCTGTTCTGGCCTCACCTCTGGGGTGCTTGGTGAGCTCTTGCCCACGGCACACCAGGCTAGACCGGAGTCCAGGCCTGGCCAGCTGCCTTGGCCTCAGCTACCCATGCTGGAGGATAGGCCGGACGCAAAGGGCCCGAGGGGGCATCATGGGGCAGGGCACCAGTCCCGTGTACCAGGGGCGTCCCTGTGTAGTCCCAGGACCGGCCCACCTGCCCCCTGCACACCAGAGGAAGACAGTGGGGGGGCGTCCGAGGCTCACGAGTCCTTCTCTCCTCCCCAGTGTGAGCAGCCTCATGCTGGCCGGCGGCTGCGTGTGGGACATGGCCCAGTCCTCCTCCACTGCCCCTGATGAGGAGTCCACCTTTGAACATCTTTGGAGCTCACTGTGAGTAGATCTCTCAGCCCGCACCGGATGGAGCGGGGGTGGGGGCCAGGTGTGTTCTCCTAGGAATGTGAGGGCCAGAGCGGGGACAGGCCACACGTGGCCACGCCTCCCTGGTTCTCCCACCAGCCAGAGGAGGCAGAGAACTGGAAGGAGGGAGGAACAGGAGGAGACCAGGACCCTGGGACATCTGTGAGTGATGCCCAGCCTGGACATCGATGGCTGTGTCCCTTTCTGACCTAGAGAGCCAGACAGCACCTACTTCGACCTCTCTCAGTCCAGCCAGGGGAACACGGAAGCAGTGGGCAGTGCGGAGGCCAGCATGGACGTCTTCCACCTGCAGGACATGTCCACTCCTGTCATGGTGAGTGTGCCATGAGGATGGCTTCACGCCTGGGTTGAGGCTTGTACCTTGCTTGTGGCGAGTTGCTTTATTGCTAATACTGAGAACCCTCAGGAAATTCCTGCTTCTCAGAAGGGTCCTCCAGGTGTCACTGGTTTTTGGTTCTGAGTCTGTTGCAAGATGCTATCGCTTGAATTTATTGGGGATGAGAGGTTTCTGCCTACTTGGCCCAGCCCCTGGTTCTTTGGCACTGGCGTAGACTATTTTTTATGACCCTTAGCCAATCGCAGGCTTGGTACCCCAGGAAGAGCAACTGATTAGAACAATTATGTCACCTCGGCCAAAGCAGTACCATCAGCAATAATGGCATTAAACACAACCTAGAGAGTGACAAACTGCGGTGGCTATTAATTTGCCACCTTTAACCAAATGAACTACATTTCTGGTTCCATAACAACATCCAAAATGAACCAGAAAATTGTACACAGTAGATAAGCCCTTACTATGGCGATTTTACCCTCAGGGGAAAAAATTGAAAGGGAGTTGGGGGAGGGAATAGAGGAAGAGAAGAGGTTCGCAGCAAGGCTGGAGGACAAAGGAAGATCACTCCCACTTCGGGAAACTGGTGAAGACAGGAGGGAGAGAGAAGGAGGAAATAAAAACGAGAACAGAACAGAACAAAACTAGAAACCCTGTTCGTACTTGTATAAAAACAAGAACAATCAAGAAAAACAAAACAAAAACAAGAAAGGGAAAAAAAAGAAGAAAATGAGAAAAAAAGTCCACTTCAAGCCTACTTGCTGTCACTGGTAGGCAGAGTTGGCAGACAGAGTCCAGATCCGAGTTGATTAATCCCAGCAAGCCAGCCGTAGCTTTACTTCTGGGTAGTGGATAATCCCAGCGAACCCGCAGCTTTAGTTCCACTGCAGCTCAGGCTGGTTTCTGCCTGTGAGGCTGGAACCCCATTTGTTCAGCCTGCGACACTGTGCGCCTCCCTTCGGCTTGAAGTCGGCTCCAGCGCGCCCTGACGCTGGGAGCTGCTGGATGGAGCTGGCCCGAAGCTGCTCTGAGTTCCGAGCTCAGCTGGCCCCTCTCCAACACGGCTCCCGGCCAGTCGCCCTCTCCTGGGGGACATCTGAACCCAGACGACTCACCAGCCACTGGAGTCTGCTCCGTTCCACTGGTGCACTTCCACATGGAGGCCTCTGGGCTCACATGTGTCTGCAGGTTCAAGCCGCCCCTCCCAAGCAGGGAACCAGGGCCCAGGGAGAAAGTGCTTCACACCACTTTTTTCTTGTGTGTTGAAACGAGATCTCCCCATGGGCTTCAGTTCTCACTTTAGATCCTCCCTGGGCCCCAGGGACCCACTTCCCTCCTTCTCTTCCTCGTGTATATTGCCGTGTCTGGATACCATCTCTCAGAGAGGCTCTCTCTGCTGCTTACCACTCTGCCATCTTTCCAGAAGTCTGGCCATGGGGGATGGGGTGGGTGGCAGTTGAGGTGGCTTAGCCCATCTTAGGAGCCTGCAGAAGCCAGAGGCAAGCCCTCAGGTGCCAAACCAGGTCTGCCAGGATGTTGAGTTGCACAGCAGAATATAGTGGCTCATGTAACTCTCAGCCCGGAGGTCCGACAAGTCCAGTATGGCCAGCCCCAGAGGCAGAAAGGGCCCCCAGTGTGGCCAAGTCTGGGGAAAGCAAGGACTTTGGGATGGCTGGAAGCAGGGGCGGGAAGAGCTTCTGGCACAGCTGTCCAGGTGCTCCACAGCTGCTTGCTTCTCCCTTCTCCCTGCTTCTCCCTGAGCAGCCCCTCCTCGCCTGGGGGAGGGGCCAGGCTAGGCCAGTGCCCCGTCCCCTGGAGAGGGAACCCTTCTCACCCATAGTCCAGCAGGGCAAGGTCTGACTCCCGTGGTCTGAACATGGTTATTATCCGTCTCTGAGCGCCTGTCCCATCCTCCTGCTCACAGGATCCCCTGGAAGCCAGGAGGTGCCCGACCAGGCCCTCTGCTCCGTAAAGCCCCTATCCCAGGAGCTGGAGCCTCCACACCCCAGGGCACTGTCTGAGGCAGTAGGGCATGGCACTGGAGGAGCAGTGGGGACCATGGGCCCAGTGACCAGGGCACTGCACCCCCACCCCTGGCAGACGTGAGTGGCAGGTTGGAGCGCACAGTGTCCCTCATCTGGGGCTCTGTTGGTGTGGCTGACCTCCTGATCTTACGGAGCCAGCATGCCCACACTTGGTGTCTATTCGATTCCCATTCTACTGGTGAGGAAACTGAGGAGGGGTAAGGGAAAGGGTGTGAGATCTGACTGTTGGTGTCGCCTGCGCAGTGTGGGGGTGAAGCTGTCCTTCCCTTTGGAACCCTCTTTGTCTGGTGCTGCTCTTTGGAGGCGGGGTCCTGGCCTCTCACCACCCCTCTCCTGGAAACAGGTGTCCTCTGGTCCAGAGGGGCCGCTGCTGGCCCCAGGCCACAGTGCAGGAGGACCTCAGACAAAGGCCCCTGGGAGGGCAGAGGTCTGAGCGGACAGAGCTGTGCGGCTGGGGCCCTCAGGGATGGCAGAGGAGGGGCTGTGCTGCTCACCCGGCCCCGATGCCCAGTGCCCAGGGTGCCCTGCTGAGTGCTCAGGAGCCCATGCCTGCCAGGGCTCGCTGCTCCCATGAGGGCTGGTGAGGGTGGGGCCCGCACCTCTGCAGACAGGGCCACTCAGTCAGGTAGCGACCTGCCAGGGAGAGCCATGCGTGGAGTTCCCGGGGCACAGCTCTGCTTCCCGAGGCGGGGATTCCCTGGAGCCCAGGCTGCCTGCCGGGCCCCCTCTGCTGGCCTTCTCCTGATGCTGCTGCCCGCTGTCCCTGGACAGCGGCCTTGCTCCAAGTGTCCAAGGGTGACAATAATGACAGGGTGGCCGGGTCCCAGCCTGGCTGCAGCGGGTGCTGGAGCCGAGCTGGGAGTGGAAATGAGATGATCAGCCCTGGATTTTGTGATCGTGCTGTTTATTAAGTCAGAGGTGAGAATGATGTGAGCGCCCCTGCAGGGAGGCGGTGGCTTGCCCAGTGTGAGCTCGTCTGGCACAGCCCAGCCCAGCGCAGCCCAGCGGTCCCTGAGGGTGGGACCCTGTGGAGAGCACTGGCCAATCTGAGTGTCCCTTGTGCCTTCGTAGAAGCTGTTCTCAGGGTGTCCCAAGTCCCTTGACCACCAAGGCTGGTGGTGGCGGGGTCCCGGCCTGGGGAGATGGGGATAGGGTATAGCATATGGGCGTCTCCAGAGGAGTTGTCCCGGTGTTAGCTGATCTCCCGGGCTTGTGTGCCCCTGGTGTTCCAGGTCAGGAGCTGGGGTCAGTGACTCACCGGAGGGGCCCCTGAGGAGGTTTGACAAACGTTCCTGAGGGACTTCATGTGCAGGAGGGTGGAGCTTAGGCCGCAGCTCCTGTGAGGATCTGGTGGGACAGGATGCCATTGTCAACGCACAGGAGTGCCAGCTCCGGAAGCCAGACACCTCGGGGTCTGCTCTGCAAGTGTGCGGGTCATTTTAAAGCTGCCCCTGGGGTTGGTTTTAGTTTGGTTGGGGAGCTGGAAGGCTGTCCGTGCTGATGGCATCTGGCTGTCCCCCTGCACCAGGACCCCTACTGGGGATCATCCAGCAGAGAGGATGTGGCCCAGGTAACTGTCCTGCAGCAGGTGGGACGTGGGGCCCTGCAGCAGGGGCTTCATGCTGGGGCACCTGGAGTGGGCAGCAAAGGTCTTGTGGGGTGGGAGGGCCTGGTCCTCAGCCCCCTGCCAGGGGAAGCTATTGATCAGTTCCGGAGGACGGGGTTGACAGGAGGCCTGGTCTCAGCGGGGACTTCCTGGGTGAGATGTAAGCCTTGTGCATCATATAGAAGGGAGCCCAGCCAATCACCGTGGCTGAGACGGCCGAGGGCCCAGACTGAAGTGGGTGTGGGGGCTGGAAGCCAGGTTTCCTGGGTTAGGAGCACCCGCAGCTTGACAGTCTTGGGACCCTTTAATTTTTTAAATTTGTGTTGTATTGTATTGTATTATACTATACTGTATTGTATTGTATTTTAGAGATGAGATCTCACCGTATAGTGCAGACTGGCCTTGAACTCACTGTGAGCCTCCTGACTTGGTGTCCTGGTCTGTACAATGGAGTTACTGAGAGGTTCTGGGTCCTCAAGGTAGTATCCAGCCTGCAGGAACGTGGGACACACGTCAGGTGTGATGGCCAGCACTTGTCTCCCTCACCCCACGTGGCCCGGTGTGGACTTGGGTCTGGCCCAGGAGGCTCAGAGATCTGCTGTCCACTGGTCTTATGAGAACAGCGCAGCTGCAGTGACCTGGGCTGGCCTAGCCCTGGGGCCATGCCGAGGGGGAGGCCTGGGGCCTCTGGGTGCTGTCGGTGGGGCCCCTGAGAGGATCAGGAGAGGAAGAGGCCCCCAAGAGCACCTGGGAGCCAGCATGTGGGGGGCGGGCAGGAACCTAACCCTGCACTATGAACCCCTCTGATGGGGTCTCAGGGTCCCCTTGGGGCACAGGAGGGTGGACACTGCCAGCCTGGACTCAGGAAGGGAGGGAGGACCAGGGCAGCAGCCAGGAAGTGGAGAGACAGTGTGGGCTGAGATCAGGGTCTCCGTCAACACCCGCCCTCCTTCTGCCTCCTGGACCAGCTCAGCATCGCTGCCCGGCCCCTCCCACCTACTCCAGCCCTTCCCGCCTCTCCCGCCGCCTTTCCCTGGCAGTAACAGCTGTTGTGGGCAGGTGGGTGGTGGGTGGGGGCGGGGCTGGAGCCATGGGGACAGTCGGTCCGGGCCACTCCTCTGCCCCAGGGCTTACGGGGCCAAGCAGGGAACAAACCCAGAATCAGAGCTCAGGGGCACTTGGGGAGCTTTGAGGCCTGGGGGGTCACAAGGGAGGCCTTTCCGGTTTCTCCCAGGCCTGGGGAAGGTGCACCCCAGGCCAGCGTGCGGGGGCAGGTGAATGAGAAGGACTCAACTTCCTTCCAGGAGGGTTTGCAGCCTGAGAAAGGGCAG